CATGAACCACCAAAATCTGTGCAGAGATCAGATATTTGTTTCCATCAGGCAATCGTTTGGATATATAGATTCATTAGGACAATTAAAACTCCTCCATTTAAATCGGATACGCCGGTGACTAACTGGGATTGCATTAATCAAACGAGTGGAAGTTCCTTTTTTCTAGGTCTAAAGTACGTTAGTAGATGATATAACTGTATTAAAAGTCCCTGCTACTGTGGATGTTTGTCTTCTAGGTGCCATTATCTTGTGCACTACCTTCTTTTGCTTTGTTTTACGGGTAAGTCCTGGGAGTACAACTTAACTTTTGCATGAGAATGGTTTCTATGTGAATTTTTTGGTATGCACATAAATTTAACAGTCTTCTGCAGTGTTTCAAAGCTTTTTTGAATGCAAGAGACGAAATACTGCTTAGGCATTAGACACATTGGTGGCTTGCAGAAGGAATCGAGACTGCTGGCACGGTCCAAGGGCAAGGTTGCTCAGAGGAGGCATGCTGGTAGAGCCTTAAAGATGGTCCCTTAACAAAATCGAGGGTTGAACAAAAATTGAAAGCAACATTAAGTCTCCCCTCTCTCTCTTAAGCATCGTACTTGGGACTCATCACTACGTGAATGGTGGTGAAAATCATTTCACTCACAAACCAACCACCCTGGTGACAAAAAATCACACGCATCTGAGAAACTAATCTGCAACCGCATTATTGTTGAGTCTTAAGAATCTACTGAGTCTGAAGTTTCTTTCTGTTTCGGAAATGTGTCTGAGGAAAAGGGAGTACGTTAACCTTTAGGCATATCAGTTGCAGCACTTTATCTCCACATCGCTTTATTCTCACTTAACCACTATCTAACCATCTTTTCTGCCCATCTACTATCCCTCCATCCATTCCTCTGCCTATTTAGCTTCTGTGCTATTTGTAGACAGACGGGAAGGGAATGACATGTTTACTTAACACCGTCCCACAGATAAGGTTGACAGCTTCGTCAACAACTTCTTCAGACAATGCATAGCTGGTAGTGCTTCACCGACCACTCGATTAAAGTGTTTACCAGCAATGATCCCCATTTTACACTCTTCGACTGGGGGTCTTCGCAGATTTTTTCTATTAGCGCCATATACTGTTCCTCCCTTGCTTTAGTTTTGTCACTCTACAGTCAAGTCATAAATAGACGTTTTTTTTTCAAACACCGGGTGTTACTTTCCAATACCACTGATGCAGCATCCAATATCAAGGGCACAATACATGTGAGTGACTTCCACTGAAGGTCAGGATTAGCTACATGACCCAAGGTCACACCACCCACCCGAGGTACAATGTTTTAATCCGTTTTATACACGCTCTTCACAAAACGAAATAGATTTGCATTGCAGTGTTCTGAGGATCCAGGTTCTCCCAAGTGAATTTTCAGCAACAAATGGCAAAGTGGCTTACAAGTCCGGTGTAAATAATTCCATGCGGACTCCCTCGAATAGGCAGCGTGTGCCAAATTATATTTCTGTTATGACTGTGTAGAACTGTCCGGAAGCTGTAGACTCTGCTAGCTCATTAAATCGCGATAAGTGATTTATTGTTTCTTCAAGACACTGCGTACCTAGACACCCACTCTGGTACACCAACGCATGCTGTAGCTGCTCTACCCCCACCTACCCTTCTTTCTCCTCGGTCTACGTTTTCAATCTTTAGGTACTGCTTTCTGGTCACGCCTTTCGTCTCAAAGTCCGTCTACACGCAGTTGCCTGGTGTAGAAGCGTGAACCTGAGACGCACTGGGAAAGTCTTGGAACGAAGTCTACGATTAGTAGTAGGTCAATTTCACATTTTAAGACAGAACAATAAGAGAACGACACCCATTCACGATGTTCCGAAATTGACCCTCGGAAAACGTTTAATCCGTGATCACGGAGGAGACGAATAGCGGCAATTTAGGGAAACACATTCCTCGACTTGATTTTGCCCTTAGGCATACGCCCATCCCAGACCACTCTTCACCCCTTATTACAACCTTTCAAATCAATTACTGCATACTTTAGGAGTTTCAAAATCTAAACCAGACCTACAGCACTTACTGCCACTCGTAAAGTAGACATCGTTCTTGTGGACGATGCAAATTCACGGCACCAGTTGCAAGTAGGTTTGACTGCACAGACTTTTCAGCCTCTAAAATAGTGCTGTTGCATTATCCTATCGTTTGGTCTGCACGAGGCGGTACAATTATGGAAGATCCGCGAATAGAGTAGAGAGGACGAGGCATAAAGAAAACCTTCACAGAAACAAACGCAAGTTGACCACACAAATTACTTTCGATTATGAAAATCCACCAGTTCTCCAAATAGAAGTAGTTAAACTTAAGACGTGTTTATTCACGAAAATGCGTGATGAGAAAAGACAAACGAGAAAAATTAAAGTAAGATTTCATTCTAGATAATTACAAGTTACAAATACACCAAGTACTGAGGGGCAGTGGACCTAACTGTCACCATCTGAAAAAAATCCTGTAAAATTAGAGCCATTGATCGAACGTATGCAGGGTGGACCAACTCAATGGGAAATAAAATACTCAGTTGAACTGGTTTCCATGCAAATGGGGCTGTTCTGGACGGTGAAGAATAGAGTTGTTGTGGAGGGACTCACGAAATGCCTTGATGGTTAGCCGAAGACCTTCCCAGAGTTGCACTTTCGGTTCCCAATGCAAGAGGTTCTTCGCTTTCGCTATGTTCGGTTTCCTACGCTTTGGGTCATCCAAAGCTTCTGGGCAGTTGACTATCTTTGAAGAGCTTTCTAAGGAAAAAATAGCAGAGGAACCAAAAGATGAGAACATGATTTCCCATGTAATGATCTTCTCCTGAATAAAGACAGATATAAGTATTTTCATGAGGCCATATGCCCATAAAAGGTCATAAGGAATCCATTTTAGGGAAACTAAAGCTGCTTGACTGGGTCAACTGCATCTATGCTTAATGTAAAAGTAAACATACCGGTAAGATTCTTAACGATGCTAGCCAATTCCCGAATGGTGAATTCATGTGGGTTGCCCAAGTTTACAGGATCTGTGATATTTGAGTTCATGAGGCGGATCAGACCATCAACGAGATCAGACACGTACATAAAGGAGCGTGTAAAACTGCCATCGCCATAAAGCTGAGGAATGAAGAGAAAATAAACAATAAATAATCACAAGGGCATTGAGCTCGATTATTGATGGCGAAAGCTCACACAAATATCCTGACCAGAGAGGGCTTGCAGAATGAAGTTGCTGACAACTCGGCCGTCGTGGAACTGCATGCGTGGACCATAGGTGTTAAAAATGCGAGCCACACGAACAGGCACATTCTCCTACGGAAATAACATGGCATAGTAACCACCTCAGCTTACCCTTCGGAAGTAGGCATAGGCAAGGGATTCCGCGGCCCTCTTACCCTCATCGTAGCAAGAGCGGATGCCTGTGGGATTCACGTTTCCCCAATAGGTTTCTGACTGTGGGTGCATCGTAGGATCTGTGAAAATCGATGCAATGGGGAAGCTTTATAGAGCCAAAGAAAATGCACTAGATAGTAAAGTTACCGCCATAGACTTCCGAAGATGAAGCGAGAAGAAACGTCGCGCCGGCTCGACGTGCCAATCCTGAATTGAGAGGTAGTTGTAATGAAAATGAACGTTTATCCAAAGCCAAGAATAACGTCAAATGACAAACCGAGAAGATTGATAGACCCAAGAAGATTAGCTTTCAGCGTTTTAATCGGATTCGTCATGTAGTTTGGAGGTGATGCTGGCGATGCCAAATGATAGACCTCATCAGCTAAAAATCAAGCAAAGTTGAGGTCATTAACTAAAGAACCTGTGAAAGCTATGGAGTATTGATCACAGTAGAGACAATAACAGCAGTAAAAGTGATAGTTTCATTAGATTGTTCGAACAAACCCTCTAAGTAAATCGGGTTGGAAACATCATGCTGGATGAAAGCAAAATGCGGATGTCCATTCCAGTGCTCAATGTTTTGCCTGTCTCCAGTGAAAAAGTTATCAAGGACGGTTACGAAATGTCCCTGATGCATTAGCCTGTCGACTAAATGCGAACCCACAAACCCTGCTCCACCAGAAACCTGGAAATTAAAGCAATTTAATTTTAAGCCATCAAGAGAACTCACAATAATACGCTTCTTGTAACGTTCAGCACTAATTTTGAAGTCTTTTCGACTTAATCGAGACACCATTTTTTTTGGGCCTGTTCTCTCGGCCAATCGATTTCTGAAACTTGAGCCCATTAGTTGATTTTTTGGCATGTCATTTCTCAAACTATGGAAAAGAAAAACCTACCCACCTTTCATCAGCGATTGTATGTTGGTTGGTCGACAGATCAAATCGTTTTGGAAACCTTAACAACTTTGGATGATTGGTCGACGATAAATCGAATCTGAAATATATACGAGCAAATATGAGTGCACCTGAACCTAATAATGGTTAAAAAATAACAAACCCACGACGATTAGACCAAAAAATACTACTTTCTGGAAAACACGCATAGTTTAATTTCACGCTTTTGGTTACAATTTCCCGATGACCAGCATGAATGAAATGCAGTATTGTACACCAAGGTTAGTGTGGGCCTTTTCGTAAAGGCACCAAGTGTTAGCCTTGAAAACATAGCGAGCACAAAATAATACAAACATTTTGCATATTTTGCAGTTGCACAAAAGTTTTTGCCAAAATGGTACTTCAGGTACTCTATGAATGAATTTTCGTAATAATCTGTTAACACTTGTAGCATCCCAGGATTCCTCACCTGGAGGGTGAAGGCATCGGGAGTGGTTGAATGCATGTATTAATGCTTTAGCTTGGCCCACAGGCCACTTTATGCAGCCAGATTCAAGGTGAATACCTAAGTAATCTCAAGCAGCATACGCGGTTGCATAAGCCACCGCTACTACAGTATGGGTTGTGTTTAAATGACTCTTACACATCGCTCACTAAGAGAACCTAGCCCTCTCTGCACTTTCTTATTTAGTGTGAACCTTAGGAGTGCTTAATAAACCTCGACCATGAAATGTGTCTTATGAAAGCTCTATCTAGTAAAATCCAAACGGAGATCAGTGGCTACAGCTACAACACTATTTTGTGTGCTAATAATATGTAAATGCCGTTTTTCATTGCTAGTGCTGCATTTTTAACAAGCTCCTTAAGAGTGTGTCGGATTTAGATGAAGAATCGGGCATGACGATAAAATGTACGAAGGGGCGATGCATATAGTAAATTAAAGGAGTGGGTTCATTCTTTGCCTATACTCTTCAAGCACACAGTGCAGGAATAAATTACCTAATTGCACTGCCAATGGCTTGTTGATCCCTTTTTTGACAATCTGTATGACTTTGGTATTTATTCTGCCTTTGTACTCTCGAGTCAAGCAAAAGCCGAATTTCGTCTTAATCTCACTGATTGTTTTCAGCCTCACTTAAAGCTTTCTTCTGATATGTAGGATCTTTCGCTAAACTATTTTCTTTTTCTCATATTATTCAAGGAACTGTATGTCTTGAAAGCATTTGTGAGTTCTGCCGAGTATAAATTTATCGCTGGTTCTTGCAATTGCCGATGTAATAGCTTGTCTACATACCGTATGCTCTACCCGTTCAGGGATGCCCCATGGACTTTCTTAGAGCAACTTTCCATTTAGGAAGACTGAGATGAAGGGCACGAAGAGCAAAATGAGAGAAGCTACACTGATGAAACGACGGTGGACATCCCCATCAATAGCGACTTGGGGTTTGATGAATGGTTTCTATTCACAATTTTTGTATTGGACCTCTACAGTTAGGCTAAGAGGATTTTACAGATTCTCCGCGCCCCAATCTATGAAATAACCCTCGAGGCAATGGGTGCTGAGTCTCGTCCCACACCCCCTTTCCAAATATGGAGGAATGTTGCAAAGTCTTTTAAGTTGGTTTCTCCTCAAAAAGAACAATTTTTCGACTAGGTCAAATTTCAACTCCCTTAGAAATCTAGATAGAATGATAAGGAGTTTACAGAGATTCAAGTTCTCGGCTGAATAAGCCTTAAAGGCCTGGTGTCCTCTCCTAGTTGCCTAATGGGTAGCTTCTCAGTTCAAAAGGGACAGTGATCCACCTGTATTAGTGGAAATCTCATCCTGATGCGGACATGCAGACTAAGGTGCCTCGTCGACATGGCAGCTGTCAAACGTCAAGAGCTTCAACTCTGAGCGAGGTTTGATACCTGTTTTTCTCTCAGTACGTCCAACAGATAAACTAGCTTTTGAGGCATACTCTCTCTCCTATGGATCCATCCTCCATCTACACGTATGCACTCCGGACAGCGTAAAATGTTTTTAGTTGAAGGAGAAGGCATCAGTCGTTAGACCACTAGGTCCAAATGCACTTTCAGCCTTGCCAAGCCAATTTAAACACATAAAATGCATCACAACTACTCTTACCACAAATTCATCGCGGTGTTTTAATACTTCTAAGTAGTTAAGATGAAGCATAATGCTTAATAAGAAGAAGCATTTTTAGTAATAAGGACGAGGCTGACGGATTTTGGCCTGTTATGGAGGCTAGTCCGACAACATTTATAGATCCCTTTCTGCTGCATCGGTCATTACTGTGACTAACTTAAGTGATCTCTGCTCTCAGCTAACACAAGTCGCAGATGGAGAGAAGAATTGCGCTCATCACTCAACAGGTACGTAGATATGTTCTCACAGGCGGGGAGTGAAACTAAGGTTGGTAAACGTTGCTAAGGTCATGGTCGATACCGGCGCAGCTAAGTCGGTATGGCAAGCATCGAGGCGCATACTCCCTCTCCCCTTCCTCAAGACAAGGCTATTATAAAGCTAGCCAACTCATCCTGGGGCCTCACTATCGCACTTGTGAAGGAGGACTATGGCAGCAAACGCTCAAGGTTGGGGTTCCCTTACCTCACATGGGTAACTAACACTGAATTTGAAGTCCAGGTAATGGCAGGTAAAAGTAGCATCATCATAACAAACGGGATTTGCAGGCTGCAGTCTTTATTATTTGGAATCTACAAAGTCGCGACTACAATTCAACGACATATATAGAAGTGCTGCGTTATCCACCTAAATGGCATTCTCGTCCTTGTTAGAGATGCTTAGCAGCATAACTTAAATCTTTAGCTGGTGTTCGGCCGTCTCCGAGATGTCGGGTTGACGGCGAATCCTGAGAAAAGCTTTTTTTAGAGCTTAGCCACCTTGGTGAACTGCCTCAGTTGAGGGGTGGCGGTCACGGAAGACCGCACGAAAGGTTTCGCTAACACCTCTATCCCACTGCATAAGCTAATGGAGGAAAGTGAAAGGGCGTTCTGTTGAGCGACTGCACATGTAGTGAAGTCTGAAGAGTTGAAACTCTTTCGTTACGCCGCCATGATACTGGTAATTGACGTAGCTATGGACGACGTAGTCTCGTAAAAGTACAAAAACGGGAGAGAACACGTCGTTGTCGAGTCCAACTTTTAGATCAAACAAAAATAACGAGACAGAAAGGCACAACAGAAGGTGGACTGTTTGCTACTACCACAGCAGTTAAATATTTCGAGCACTACTTGATAAGCAACAGATTTTATAGCGTGTTCATATCCCCAGACCGTGACGTACTCCAAAACCACGTCAACGTGAGAAATTTCAGCGGTATAGGCGAGGCAGCCCACCCGACAATGCAGATGCGCTGTCCTGCAGACTCTTCTTGCCAGAGATAGGTGGCGGGTCAGTAGGTACGGCTGTTTTTGAGTAATTCTACCAGTCCTCATAGGAGAAGTATGCAGAGTGCTGGCCTTAATACGACATCTCGAACAAGCCTACTGCGGAAGAGACGTGCTTATTATAAGCAATTAAGCAAGGCAAGAACTATAAAATCTTTAGAAGAGGACGCTTCATAGTACCAAGACAGTGCAGAGAAACTCAAACGCCTCATAACTTTAAAATCGCTGATGTTTAACTGCAGCTACACGAGCAATTGAGACAGGGGGCAAAAAGAACGTCTCTGCTAACTTCTTATGTTTCCAATTTTTGCTGGACTTACAAAAAAGCCTAATTTGAGAAGAATCCACCATACTGATACCGCACCCTTTCAGCCTATGTCTACAAGATTTCCACAAGAGGGAACAGAAGTTGACATCATTCTGGCGACCGAGAGGGCTATCGTATACTTTACTGATGGTCGATTACTTCATCAAGGTAACTGATGCTGAACAGCCAAAGGCGAAGGATGCTTGACAGTAGTAACAGCATTTTTCAACCGCTGGGTCTGTCAACATCAAGTACCTGATTCTACCCATGACGATCATGGACATAATTTTAAGAGCCGAATTGTTACAGACCTGTGTAAAACTTTCCAGATTATCATGAAGTGCACATCGTAAAGACATCCCCACGGTACTTAAAATGTGGGAACAGCGAATCACAGGCTTATGGATT